AGGAAATTTGATTTTCCCCTAGGGAAGAAGTTCCTTGTGTAAGTATCTATTTATTTCACAACTAGCCCTTGAAACAGAATTTTCAAGATGTCAGGGACCAAATGACCTCTAGCTCTGTTTCTCACAAGGCAGGAGGCTCTATAATGGCACTCGAGCTCCGGTGTTAAAGCATCCCCTTCTGTTTGTATTAGGTTTCCATGGTAAGCTTTATTTTCCAATATTCACCCCTTATTGGTCTGAGTTCTTTCTTCTAGAGCCTTAGAGCATAAATCTACTTCACTTTCACCCAATGCTTCCCAGAATGTGAAGTTGTCCAATCAACCTGAGATCTCTTTTCTCTTCTCCAGTTCCTTCAGCTATCACGAGTTGTCAAACTTTAGTTTTTCATGATGTTTTACATGTGAAATCCTCCCCGTCCAAACCCCTAACGCAATGTGACTAAAGCAGTATACATTAACACAACTGCTTCCCTTTCCTCTAGATCTCTTAACTACTAAATGCAACTGTTTCTGCAGCCCAAGTCACGTCACCCTGTTGGGATAGACTTCAGATTAAAATATCATTGCTATTTCTTCACCACATCAACTACAGAGCAGTTTTACCTGTGCTGGACTCATATAATAGACTGTTTTAGAACTTCAGGGCAGGGTTTCACATTTGTGATTATTCAATCCTGGGCTTTTTCAGCCTGTTGAGAGTTTTGAATTTTCATTCATTGTACTATCAATATCAGTCTCATATATATATACACACACACACACACACACACACACACTTTAAGATTTTACTTATTTATTTATGGGAGAGAGAGACAGAGCGAGCACACAAGCAGGGGGAGCGACAGGCAGAGGGAGAAGCAGGCTCCTTGTTGAGCAGAGAGCCCCATGTGGGACTCGATCCCAGGACCCTGAGATCATGACCTGAGCCAAAGGCAGATACTTAACCAACTGAACCACCCAGGCACTCCTCTTCTGGATTTACATTATCTGCAAATTTAATAACGGTCTTTAAGTAGTGGATGGAAAGGGATTGCATGAGGCCAAGGACGTAGGACTGACCTAAGTCATCAAAGGTCTCTGAAAGTTGATATGGACTCATTTAAACAACTGTGGTTATAGTGGTGGTTCTCAAACTTTATCATGCATCAGAATCTGAACAGATTGTTGGCCTCATTTCTGATTTCTGAGAATTTGCTTCTCTAACAAGTTCCCAGGTAATACGATGAGCACACTTCAAGAAGCATTGCTTTATGGGTATAGTTACTTGTTTAACAAGCTGCCATCACACAGTCCCTGAGATTCCTTACAGACCTTTTTAATGAGGTTTGGTTGACTTATTCTTAGGCTGGATTTATGCTGACCACCCCTCACCCCCAAATGAATTTTGTCCTGGTGCACAAATGGATTAGATTACATCGTGGTTCCACTTCTAGATTTTTAAAGCTTCAGTGAGAAGGAAAGGGTAAGTAGTTCAAGTTAGAGTCTTAAACTCCATTAAGTCAATTCCAGGAACTTCAGTGTTGTTTCCAGTAACTCCAGTGTTGTTTCAAATAAGATTAGAGAAGTTTTCCCACAGAGATGTTGCAGTATCCGAAGAGATCTAAGTTCACATCGATCTTAGTCTATTAGAAATGAAAGGCACCATTTGGCCTTCCCACAATTACTCAGCAAGACACTGACTTTACGTCTTTTGGGAGCTGAATGCATATCAGAAAGTTTGTGGTCAAGGAAGGAAAATTTCAAATGTCCTCCGGTGTCAAAAAGAAGAAACATTGTAGTTTGTCCTGTCAAAGCCATTAAGATTCCACCTACAGAGTGAGATTGGGCAGATGTTGGTACCCTAGTCAAATCAGTGGCCCATTAGCTTTTGGTAATAAAAATGTAACGAGTGTGGCGGCCGTCCACTGGTCCTTTGTCCTCAACCCAAAATATGCTCAGACAACAATATTTTCACTCCATTTATTCCTTCAAAACAAGTCACTTCATACAGCATCAGGTATTTAAAATCACAGACCTCATAAATAAAATCAATTCATCTTAATGACAATGGCAAAATCACATGAGTTGTACAAAATGAAGTAAGACATCTCCCAGGTAGCAGCAGTGCATGAACTTTGAAAAAATGCTGGCAAATAGACAAAAGAACAATTTTTAAACAAGAAAACACTGTCTATCTTTATGAAGAAACATATGCCAAGAAACAGAACTTCTGTTTTGCCCTTACCTACTACTTTTTCAAGTCATGTGCTAAGCTCTGAATTTGACAATCCATGGTTTCCTTTTTGCTTCAGGACTCTCCACCTCCCTCGCCTCCCCTCCATCAATACAGGAAATAGAGGACTACTGTTATTCTCTATCCTTTTTGACAAACTTATACATATTTATTTTGCATTTTAAGCTGAATTCAATACTTCTTTAAAGGGAAAACATTACTCTTTGCTAAGGAAATTGTTTTTCCTGTAAACAGCTGGAGTCCTGAATGGCACCAAGATGAACTGGAAACCTGACAAGAATTAGGTGCCCTGGTCCTTTAAGTAACTTATGGGCTACAACTTACTGCATATCCTATACCAGGTCTAAGAGCAGGCTCATGTAATCTTAGTAGAAATTCTATACCTTCCTTAGGCTAACTTGTTACCTACAACTTAACCATATCATATCTTCATATCATATTATATCCCTAAGCAACTAGATGTGGCTATTTTTGAAAGTATAAAAAGGTATCATAGCAAAATGCTTCTATTCATGGTTTATATATTAATGACAAGTTTGTCAGTTATGGCCCTGCTACCTTCTATGCCAAGAAATGGGTAAGAAGGGTTAGGAAGACACAATGCATTGCTTGAAAAGTTTTTCAAAGCGTGTTCATGACTAAGGAATGTATCCATTTGAGGACCTTTCTGTTTAAGTGGTACTTCATCCCCCTTTCTCTTTAATCTAAAATAGCAGTCTCCTTTAAATTCACATGGACCAAGACCTAAATCAGCACCCCACAACTCAGTATCAATATAACAATTTCTTCAAAGTCAAATATTCAAAGCTTTGTAAACAAAATGCCAGCTAATTTTTGGAAGAGAAACAAATAAAACCCTTTCCCACAATCAGGCAAGGTTTATAGTCTAAATTGAGTTAAATGTGCTGAAATATTATAACTCTTAGTAAGAAAACATCTTTAATGAACTAGCTTATTCAAATCAAGTGTTTCACTTTAGACTTAAAAATGACACTTTTAAGGCTAAAAAATCAGCTCCCTTAAAGTAAGTTTGCTTAGAAACAAATGAAGAGTTTTAAGAATCTAATCTTTTCTAAGTTGGTACAGTCACCTTTTTACTACAAGGACAAATTTGAATACTGCACTGTAAAATGAGAAAGAATAATCACATTATACAAACAGGTAACTTTTTGAATGCTAGGGCACAGAGCATGCTCCTAAGTTATTGAAACCAAGTTCCACGGTTATCAAAAACCAGAATGTTTTACCACTGGATACAATACACACTGATGGCAATTGTTGATTAAGAAGAGCTGATTGTTAGCAGCTCAAGAATTGTATTTTAATGCCTTGAGCAAGATCCCTGGAGAGGGCGAACATGTAAACTTACTTCGTATTTTTTTAAAGTGCTGCAAATAATAACAAACGTGTGTCTCAACACATGACAGAACATAAATCTTAATATATGAAAGTTTAAGAAGGCCACCTGATCCATAAAGAAAACAATTACTCTACTTTTACTTACTCCTCATTCTAACTTTCTCAAAAAAGACACAGAAAACTATGTTTAGCTAGGGCAACTTGCAACATCCATGTTTTAATGCCTACACAGCATAGAAAGCATATGCTAGATAAGCAAGTTGGGTGTGGGCACTTAGGGGCATTTATAGAGAGATAACACAGTAATGCATTCTTGATGATGACTTTGCTGGGCTTCAACTTCATGGATTAATCAACTGGCATGATTGTATTAGTTTTTGCCAACAGGGTCAAGCTGACCAGCAGCCAAACTTTCAAGGGTATTCCTTGACGACGCTCATTTTTCAAGGAAATAATATTAATCATATTTCATGGGAAATAATTAAGAAACCAACTAGGAATGATTAACAAAAGATGTACCACACTGATGTCCTTCTATGGCTGTCACATCACAAAATTCCCAGGGATAGTAATTTTAACCTCTGAAAACATTCTACCTAGAAGTGCATCTTTACCGCCCTACACCAGATCTCTAAGTCCAGAGCAAACTATACTCATTTGAATTAAAAAAATATTCTTGCGTGGCACTCAAAAATGGAATAAATGGAAGAAGGGTTTCATTCTGCTCAAGTACAAATTTAAAGAAAAAGTTTCTTTTGATCCTGCTGCAAGTACTAAATCCATAGGTTTCAAAATTCTGAAGATTAGCATTTACATACATTAATAAACTAACCTCAAGACTATACTAAGTGCAGTAAAACAAAAAAATCTTTAGATTCTGTGAGGTTTATAAGCTTGAGTTTACAAAGAACACAAGTTTAGGTTTTGAATCCTCAATAACTAAATCAAATTGTCTGCAAATAATGCATCATCTTGGATTTTCCAAGATCAGAACATTCAAGTCTAGTGCTGAATTTCAGCAATGGATTAATTTATAACTCATTATTGAGAGCCATTTGACTGAGTTATCGGTGTCCAGTTGGTGAATGGACAACCCAGGTAACAGGTAAAATAGAGTAAGATCCCTGGAATCAACACTTGACACTTGCTATGGAAGTATAAGCTTAAATATGGAAACAAAAACACTTAAAATGAAGGGGCTTAATTTTATAAAATATCAGGTTCTATTTCTTTCTTTTTTTTTTTTTTTTTTTAAGATTTTATTTATTTATTTGAGAGAGAGAAAGAATGAGAACGAGAGGGAGTGGTCAGAGGGAGCAGCAGACTCCCCACCTAGCAGGAAGCCCGATGTGGGACCCGATCCTAGGACTCCAGGATCATGACCTGAGCCAAAGGCAGTCACCCAACCAACCGAGCCACCTAGGCGCTCTCAGCTTCTATTTCTATTTGTTAAATTAATCCAATGTAGATAAAATATACTCAATTTTAAAGTGACAGAAATTTATGTTGGAAAACATATCAATACTCGCTCGGTACATTATAAATTACTCAATAAATATTTGTTGCATGAATAAACTTTTCTAAAATTGCAGTAAGCAAATGTCAAGTTTGGCTCCTTAAGTACCTAAGACAGGAAGGCAAGCTTCAAGAATAATGACATGTAAAGCTCAATTTGATGCATGTTACCCAGTGATATACTGTTAACTTCTAGTTTTAAAGGTAATTATTTTCCGGGGAAAATAAGAGATACAAAAATCTTTAGACCAAAATGACAGCCAGGTACAAAGAGATCTTCAAACATATTCATTTGTACATAGTATGATTGCCAAACATTAAGTATCGCAAGCTTACAAGTGCTATTTGTTAAGGCTCAGTAAAAATAGAAAGTTAAACCTTTAAGTTACACTGACCATAACTTATAATGCCTAAAGCAGCTATTCACAAAATCGGTACTTAAGAAATGTCACCTAATGATTTCAAGCATACTTCATGAATTCTTCCTTAAAAGAATTTTCCACTAAATTGTTTACAGGCTCCTTAATTTTATACGACCACCTCCGCCAAGGGAAAGTGCTAAAAGTAAATCTCAATTTAAAAACATTTGCAAGAAGATATGCTAAAAGAGAAAGAAGTGCTTTAAAGTATAGCATTGGTTTTGAAAGTGAGATACTTCATCAAAAAATGAGGCCAAGATAATGAAACTTCACAACAAGCCTCTTCACATTTTGTGAGATAATACATAACAAATTATAATTTAGCATCCCTGATCTTCGGAAGAATTAAGAAAAGAGGTAGAAAACTTTTATCTGGAAGATCTCATAGTGAAGCTAGTTTTAGAGGGTGTGCCTTGCAGTTTAGCCCACCAAGCAAATGACTACACATCTACTATTAGGAAGAAGCAGAATTCCAAAAAAGCTGAATAAGGCAAGGATTTAAAAACTGTCGCATTTTGGTAGTGAAACAAATTCAATGTTATTATCCAAACTACTAAAACTCTTCAAAAGCCAAAGTAAAAGATTGTAGATAAGCAAAGTGCTAATTGTCAGAAATGTGAAATTATTCAAAAGAGCATTAGTGGCCAGATAAGGCTAGCATGGAAAAAAATATTGTTTAGTTGAGCGAAAGATCTCACAAAAACCAAATCAAAGCACAGCATTATCACTTTAGACGAAGGCTGTTTTTTAGGAGTCGAGAAAAAAGCTGAGGAAAGTTAATCCTCCTAGACAAATCTTTATGTAAAAAACCAAAAATCAAGCACTCAATTTCAAGAAACTTGCATTAAAAAATAAATACCCTGCTTAATTTAAATGTTTTATCTAACGAGACAAACATCAATAAATGAGTTGTGTTAAAACATGAGGCCTACGGTCTTTTAAAGCTTTAGTAAGCTGCTCAGGCACCTTTTCCCTCATACATTCTACTTTTATACACTAGAAATCCTAAATTGGGCACTATCAGTTCCTTAGGTAACATTCTCAAGGAACACACTCATCCCTGTAAAAATTGCTTGTAAGGTACTTATAACTGATTAAGTACATACTTATAAAGTCTACCAAATCGTAATATAAAATCGGTTTTGACAATTCTGAGTATCTTCATTCGAGGAATCAATTCATAATTTAGAAACTATTAACTTAATCAGAGTTTTTAAAAGGACTCAATTATGGAGACATCATGGTTTATGTCCAGTGGCCTCTAGCGAGGCCTTCCGCATTACTCAAAATATGAAGTTGTTTTCTTCTACAGGTTAATGCTGCTGGGTGCTAGTTTACAGTACTAAAATTCCGATCTTCAGGTTAATGTCAGTAGGTAGCAAGGACCACCTATTCTGTGACCCCAGTAGAGAAAGGGCATGTATCACCACTGTAGACACACATCTGTAAACTTGCACACTAATTTTAATCTTAACAAGGAATTTCAGTGTCTTAGTGGTTTTAAGTTAAAAAGACGGTTCAAGCATTGTGTCCTTTTGTTCTTTACGGTTACGAATAGCTTATTGGAAAACCCAGAGCCTTCTGGATCTGTGAGGTAGTTGGCGGCAATCCTCATCATGCATAGATCACACTTCTCCGAAGTTGGTATGGCCTGTTTCCTTGGCATGGTCCCTTGCTTCTGCTTGTCCAGTTAATCCCTTCTGACATACCATGCATCTCAGGGTGAAGCGGTTTACATCAGTAAATTGTCTCTTTCTTCTAGCTTCATCTGCTAATTCCAGTGCTTGTACGAGAACAATATCATCATTAGAGGAGAAAATGGTCAGAGGCGGGGTGTCTGGGTCAGGGAAGTTACGCTGAAGTGGATCATAGTGGATGCCATCATATATAAGCAGGACCCTTTTGGTATATCCTGCATCTTCCCCAAAACGATCAATTCTTACTGTCTGTGTATCCACTACACATATTTCACACTGATAAAATTTAGACAAAATTGATATCTCAATAGCTCCTCCCCAAGTATCATCCCTTTTGATCCAGTCACAGTACTCTTGATTTGTTTTTCCCAGGATTGCCTCACTATAGAAGTCTGGATCACTTGCTACAATTTGTGCTATGAGGCGTCTCATCTCAGGGGCACAAGCTGGATTCAAGACTCCACCTTCTACAACATAGTATACACTGGTAAAGAGGCAAGAGTTGTCTGCTGGGACCACAGTTCTGTTAAGCACAGGCAAAGTTTCCCTGACGTAACTAGGAGCACCATGTTTTGTAAATGCAGGTGACGTTTTGGGCCTGGTTTGGTCTTCTTCAACGATGAGCATGTCGCCTGTTAAAAATAAAACAAATCCAGAACTGCAGAGAAATTACTGATGAAACTGGTTGTTCACTAGCCAAGTCCTTAAAGTTACAAACTGAAGGAGCTGAAGTATTAACTGGGTTACTAGGGAGAATACGAACAGGCAAACAGGCAACCAGTAACACTTCTTGTTCACTCCTTCTCCGTAAAGATGAAAACAGAACAAAGAAGAAAAACATCTTAGGCTACATTCCAATTCAGTGAAGGAGCCCTGGTTATACACCTTTTTGCTTACTTAAAAAGATATATTTCAAGAACAAAATTTCCTTAATGCTTCCTCTCTGCATTCTGAAAGCACAATCTTCCAAAAAGTGTTCACCCTAGACTAGACCACTAGGGGGTTCTCGTTCCTCTGAAACTTAACATAGCCGCCCTGTTAAGTGTTTACAGGATCTTTGACACAACAGCTGAAAGCGTTTAATGATCAATATTGCTATTCAAGTTTTAATACTGGACAGAAATAACTGCTACTGTTTAGAATCTGAAAGGGCCTCCAGTGGATGTGTAAAACCATACTCTAAAATGAGTATGCGCGAAGTGATTGTTTATCGAAGTATACGCGAAGGTGATTGCAAAAAACAACCGGGGAAGCAAAAAAAAGAAAAGTGTCCTGAACACTTCAGACCTGCTATCTTCTTCCAGGTTATGGGGGAAAGAGCCACCAGGACAGAGAAAATAGATCTCATTTTTCTTTTTCTTTTCTTTCCTTTTTTTTTTTTTTTTTTTTTTTTTACTTTTGTGGATACAGAAGGAAAAACAAAATGAATGAGACGTTTTCAAGGTAGACTGAAGAAAGGGGGGCTCCGAGGCTTTGGGCTTCTCATATAGGTTGAGTCCTCGATCTCTCTTCCCATCATATATAAAGTCGAGGACTTGCTAGCCACTTGCCCGGCCTCCGTCAGAGTTCTCCGTTATTTAACCTATCTTTATCCCTGTTCTTAAACCCCCCAAATGACCCACAGACCAGTTCTCTGTTCTCCCCCACGCCCCTCTTCGTCCTCCCAGGGTTTTCCCTGGCCCCGGGCTCAATTCCCTTACCTGACTGGATGGGCAAATCCCCAAGAATGGTATCCTCGTTGCTGAGGTCCAGGCATTCGGGCGGGTATCCGACGAGGATTCGCTGACAGCCGGGGGCGATCCCGGTGATGGCGGCAATTTGGCTCTGGAGTTCCCGCACTCGGGTCCGGCTAGACAACCCCTGCAAAACATGGGTGCCATCCTTGGCTTTGCAGCGGAGCCGCCACATCGTGTCGGTCCAGCTGCCCGCAGGCCCCACAGCGGTGGGGCCAGCTTTGGTCCCGGCAGCAGGTCGGCCAACGCCGCCGGGGCAACCAGCCGCCGGATAGACTCCAAAATGGCCACCCTTTGCCGGGCCAAACATCGCGAGAAATCGCTGGTGGCCACAGATGTCGCGATACTTTCCGGTAGCGTAAGCTTTTAGGGCTTTAAGGAGCGCGAACTCTCTTAAAGTGACAACTAACTCACTGCGACCAACCCTAGGGAGCCAAAGGATGAAGATTTATCCGTATTCCTAAAGTACCAGTGGCTTTGCTACCTGTAGAGTAAGTGCGGTGCCTTGTGCGTTGGCAGCATATATGCTCAAGGAGAGAGGGCGGAGGAAGGAGTCCTGAATCTGGTACATCGGAATGTAATCTTGTGTTAGATCGGTAATTATTAAATTGGGGCTTCCAAATCACACGGCAAAAATAGAATCATCGTTCAGAACGCAAACGAATGCCAAGAATGGCCAGTGAGTCAAGAGACCTGCCAAAACAACCAGACACTCGTGACCAGGCTCATGGCTGCAGCAAACATTGACTCATTGAGGTTAAGGAAACCGGACTGGCCTTGCCACCTTGACGCCGTAATTTGAAAAGTCCCATTTGCCACATCAGAAAGCGCAGTATGAGGTCAGCATCTGGGCCTAAGGCAATTGCTACATTTGGGTGGTAGCAGTATAAGGAGGAGGAGAGAAGAGGACTAATGTGTGTCATCAGGATTCCAGTTCAGGCCCTGGGTGTACTGATAGGAAGACGACTCCATTCTTGACTTTAGTATTGCAAGTACTGTCATCGGGACAGAGGGTCAGGAGTAAAAGGTCCATAACCATTGAATTTCACAGCCACGTGATAATGCTAGACTATGTGACTTTTTCCAACCCTGTGTCCCTAGAACCAAGGACTGTGCCTCCCATATAAGTGCTCAATACAAACCTGCCGAATGGATAAAGGCAGTTGTACTGGGGCAGATAAGGCAACCATAACGCAACACACTGGGAATTGTAAAAAGCTCCAGAAGGAGACACTAGTGGAGCTGTTCCTGAGGGATGAATTTAATCCCCAGCTGAAGGAGGCATAAAGACATCTCTGAATTTCCCTTTTCCAAGAAATCCACATTCCTTGTTCTTTTTCCATCCTGGATCCGAAGAAGCACGCCTGCATGGAGTGGGTTTATCAGCAGAATCAAGCATCATCAGAAGGGCCTGGGGGCAACGTGAGAAGTTCGCTGGAAATATGCAGTCTCACCTCTACTATAACAGCCTATGTCTACCTCTAAGTTATATGGAAGCTTTGCCTCTTTTGACTCCTTTTGTGATCCAATTTTTTTGCTGAAGCTATGTTCCTTTTTTTGTTTTTCGAAACTACCCGAACAGATGGTATAGCATAGGAGGTAGGAGCGAGGATAACGGCGACGAGTAGAAGACCACTGGAGTATGCGGATGGGTCCGGGATGAAAGAGTAGTTGATTTTCTGAGGCTACAGTGTCTGGCCGATGGGTAGGATGCAAACAGCTAAGGTGTAATCAGCTCAAGTACGGTGGTAGCTCACGTTAGCAACGCACCACCTTCTAAGGTTCCCGTTCCAATTTATGGATCTAACAAGGTCCTTTGAGATTCAGGGAGGAAAGCGTTAACCTCCACAACGTTTCAGTCACCAAAATGTCACATCCCCTCTACACGTCTGTCGTCCACTCTCGCGAGAGTATGAAAAAAAAAAAGTACTGCATTTTATTAACCCCGCCCCCAGCCCGATAAGTTGCCTAGCAACGAGGCAACCAACCTCCACAGCGTGAGGAAACTTGGGAGCTTGCGATCTTCAGGCTTCGGTTTCTTCCACCTTGGCGAGCCAGCGTCAGCGATTCCGATTTGAGCCCCGCCCCAGGGAGTCTGCGGGCTCCGGATTGGCGGATGATTCTCTCCAGGTGAGGACCGACGCCAGGGTGGCGGAGCCTGACAGGGGCACGTGATTTGCCGGCTACTGGTGTGCGGGGCCCGGACCACAGTGTGTCAGCTCCTGTCCGCAGCCTAACGGGACGAGTGCCGGGGCCACTGTCGGGAGGGAGCTTAGGAAGGATCGTAGGGTGAGCGGTGGCTGTACGGCGCCTGGAAGGGCCGGGGCGGGCGGGAGGAGGGGGCCTGCGTACACCCGGGTGAGGTGCGGGGTGGTGATTCTTTGCAGTTTTCGCTCAAGTGCCGGCATTGCTGGGAGTGCGGACGTTCGGGCACCGGGAGCGACGTCTGGTGGTTGGGTTGGAGGATTTGTGTGGTCAGTGGAAGAACAGTGCAAGGTCCTTGAAGCAGCAGGACCTTCGGTCCTCACGAGCCCCTTGTCTGGGTGCGCGGCGTGAGCACAAGGCTATCCACCCCGGTTCGAGTCAGGACTTCTTATTCAGCAGGTGACCTTGGGGAAGTTATTTACCACCTCTTTGCGCCCCAGTGTTCTTACAGACTGCGAACCGAGGGATAGATGGGAAGAGGGTGCAGGGCAAGGGCTTGAAATGAGAACACTCGAGGAGAAATGGTGATACGCTAAGGTCGTCACGGGGTCCAGTTACAGTTTTTCCTTCAGGGAACATGTTTGGGATTTCCTCACTGCTCCCATATCTGCCAGGACTGAATTCCTGCCATTGGACTGCGGTGACTTTATGATAATGAACTCGATCTGTTTGCAACCCACCTCATCCCCCACTTCTGCCAATACTCTTCCCAGCTTTTTAAGCCAGAATCTGAGGTCAGGAAGGAACTTGGATAAGCCACCTGATTTGATCAAACTTAGCTCTTCAACCTGTAAATTGGATGAAAGTAACAGTGGTAGCAGAATATTACCTATGGAAGGATTATTAGAAGGATTGAAGGAGCTAATTTATGTGAACCTAACTCCTAAGTCAGCATTAAAAAGGGAAGGTTCTACTGCAACTCAGTCTATAGATGAGGAAACAGGGCTTGGGAGGCCTATCAAAGGGCATGTAGCTATTAACTCTGAGCGAAAGGGCTGGACTTGACTCTTGGCCCAGGATTCTTTCATTTCTACTGCACCTGTCCTCTTCACTGAGTGTTTGGAGGGACGTCTCCTTCCTTACGTTCCTTTTGTCCCTTTCAGACATCTCCCGAGGAGCTGCCATGTCTGGGAATACTGCATCTTCATCAGAACAGAACAACAACAGCTATGAAACCAAGGCCTCCAATCTTCGAATGTCAGAGAAGAAATGTTGTGAGTCTGGGGAAAGAGGAGGGGCTGCTCCCTCCCAGGATTTTATCTTAGGAGTATAGTTGTAGTCCTAGACTTTGATGTTTGGTGGGAGTGAGAGAGAATTCTTTGACATGGGAATTTAAAACCAAGTCTACAAGGGGAATTTCTTGTGTGAAACAAGTAGGCCCCGTGAAATGTCTGTCACTGGGGCTAGACTGCAGGTCTTTAACTATCTCGTGGGGAAACCTGCGCACTCGACTGATGTTGAAAGTTACCCACTCAGTGATTAAGGCAGAGTGGCAGGCGCAGGAATTACTTAGGGCTGATACCGTTAACAGTTTCCCTTTACCTGGGGGGCTACGTTTTTGTGAAGGTGCGGCTCACTGCAGAAATTGCAGGTAAGAGCCAGTAGGAGTTCATTTCGGCAGGCCTCTGGGGGAGTTAGGTCTGCCAGCTGACCTCTCACTCTGACTTGGGCACCCTGCTCTCCCTCAGGGTTAGCCTTCGCATTTTGCAAGGTGTTTTTCCTGCAGGTTCATTTCTCTAGGGACAGGTTTCACCAGAGCCTTTCCATGCCGGTTCTTTAGACAGAGATGGCAGGTGGGTTTGCAGAGAAATGAAGCATCATTTCTTCTCCCCGGGCACCTGCATTCCTAACCCTCATTGTAGCTCGTATGGGCAAAAAGTTCTGGGCAACTGGCCCCTACAATTTTGGGGGAACCTCAAGGAATGCTAACCCTTGCCCTTGCTTCCAGATGCACTTTTCCTGTGGAGCCCCGTCAGTCAGTTCTCACTTCATTGGTCGTGTATATAGGAGGTGGAAACAGCCAGCCAGCGTGAGACCTGGAATCGTGTCATGTTCAAAGCTTTCCCCAGAGTCTTGACCTTAATGTTATATCCTTGTCAGTCTCATGATTAATGATAATCTCTTTTCATCTAGCACTGATGAAGCTTGCTGGGCTTTGCGTGGCAACAGAGGCAGCTTTTTGGATGTGATACTGGGGTTGGCACACCTGTGTGATTAGGGTCTCCTTTCTCTGCCAGGGCAGGAAGCCAGGTACCGAGGAAGAGTATCCTATGGGAGATAACTAGTATAGCACGATGTTTGAGTGCAGCCTTGGAGTCAGACTGCCCGGGTTTGAATCTTGGTTTTACTCCTTCCTAACCATGTGCCTTGAATAAGATGCTTATCCTCTCTGTGCCTTAGTTTGCTTATTTATAAAATGGGATACTAATATTATCTTCCCCTAGAGCAATGTGAGAATTAAATGAGTAAATATAGGAAAGCACTTAGAAGAATGTTTATAGAGCTAAAGTGTATTTTAAGCCCCTGGTGACTTTTCATTGCATATAAACGGAATTATACTGTAAAAGTTATACTGTGAGCTCACTATTTATAAGAGACCTATGAAAAATTAGATTTTCAGTAAAGAATGTTTTCTCCTCTTGCTCGACAGTATCCTAACCCAGATTTGAGAGCACTAAAGCGAGGTGCATTCATGTTATTGGGACACTTGATCCAAAAGAGTACAGAGAGCAGGTGGCGACACGGGCTGCACAGAGCCCAGCATCAGCTGTATTCTCCAGAGAGACCTACTCCATGTCATTCAAACTCTTCTGCAGTTTTTCTGCCTTGAGGGCTCTCGCTAGTCAAGGAGGCAGTAATCCCAGGTCTCCTTTCTATCCTCTAGACTCTGCACTCTGATTTCTCCTCTCTAAGCTCCACTCTCTTCTCCCCTACTGGGAGCATGGGGTGGGGGATTTGTCCTGACTCCATCATCATTCATTTACCTGCCCCCTTCTCTTCTCCCCTCGTGGGTTGGACTGGGAGACTGCTGCAGCCATAGTCAAAGGAGAAATACAGTCGTGAAGATACGTGTTAGTTTATTTCCTTCTCTCCATTGCCGGCCCTTATGTTGGAGCAGACTCCCCTGCCCACTTCGTGCTCATACCCAGTGGTTGCTTTATTAATAGCTCAGCCACTATCCCCTTGCTGCCAATTACACCTGTGTTGCCTGGCTCCACTCTGGGATGTGCCCGAGCTGGAGGACTGGAGAAGGACTTCGGGGAACCAGAACCTCCAAAGGAGCATTACTGGAACTTCAGCTGCTCCAGGGACGGGGGTGATGGGTGGTTGCTGGCCTAGGTGCCTGTAAGGTGCTCAGATGACCGGTTTCCGGGCATCTTAAAGGCACCTCAGGAAGTAGGCAGGTGGGGACAGGGGTGAGTGTGTACATGCTTTTCTTTGTTTCTTTTATCCTTTGAGATTTTGAGTAGGTCTGAAACAGACAAGCTCTCATGTGCTTTTCCCAATTAGAAAAGCAATACGTGTTCATGAAAAATTCAAACAAAACAGAGAAAAGTGAAAAGTAGAAAAAAAAAAATCTCTCACAATTTCTCCTGTCCCTGTTAAGTTTATTCTTCGCAATATCTCCTGGTGTATTCTGTTAATGAAAATAGGTTCACACTGTACATATTCTATTCCACTATTTTCCTCTTTTTTTTTTTTTTAACTCATTATATTGTGGAGGGCTTTTTTTGGGGTGTGTCTATAAATCCACATTTAACTCTTTCTGCGCAGTATTGTATTCTATGGATATTCCAGCCTCCCCCAGTGGACAGTTGCCCTGTTTTAGGTTTTCCACCATCACAAGCAATGCTGCAGGAGCGTCCTTGCCTATATATCTTAGCGTGTTTGCACTAGCAGCTTTTCCTACAGAAGGAATCAGAGGAGCTCTGTGTTGATCAACATTACGAATTTATTCTCCTAAAAAGTTCTGTATTGGTAGCTACTTTTAATATTTCAAAGTGCATGGATAGAAATTGGGCGTTGTCAGCTATAGGTGCACTGGTTTACTAAAACATGAATTTTCTCAGTGTTTAGCCACAGAACTTGGATATTTCATGCCTGTCAGACAAATAGCGGGAGATAATTAGCAGCTTTATGACCGCTGCATATTTAAAAAGTATTGGGCCTATTTAGAACAAATTGTGGAAGAAGGCCTTGTTCGTGAAAAGGCTGGGAACAACTACTACTAGTACTACTATGCTGGGAATCACTACTACTAGTACTACTAGTACTACTACTAGACCACCTTTCAGGATTAGATTAGAGAATTTAGTCATACTTATCACAACACTCCCTTGGCCAGGTGCTGACAAGAGCTGGTGGCTGGGACTGATGGGGCAGTCTTGAAACCGAGAGTCAGGTCAGAGCCCTGACCTTGACTTTGTACTGTGTAATTGTGGGCCAAGCTCTTCACTTCCCTGGGTTTGCGTTTTTCTGTTTGTAGGAGAGAAGTTATCAAGCCCTCAATTCCTCTAAGTATGTTCCTGAGGGAGAATAAGTTTAAGATTGAGAAAGTGAGTTAAATCTTTGTTTAAAGAAGGTAGGAGAGAATTTCAGGATTGAAACAGCTCTTCATTTTATGCTGAGGGATATGTTACATTGTCTCTGAAATTAACCAGCTTGGACTATCTACTCTTCAAATTAAGGTGGTAGTGGTTTTGTTTTGTAACAGGCAGGACAGAATGTTCCTAATTTTGTCAACCCTGCGGGTTTGAGATAGGAAGTGTGTTTTAGTTTTGTACTCTGGAACATGAGAAGCCCAGAGGTGGGAGGTGTGGTGCCTTGGGGTGTCCTTAGAGACCCCCGTTTTCTTTTGCTCTTAGCATTCTCTGTCCAGTTGGGTAAACATGCAGCAGCTGGTCCCCTGCTTAGCTTCAGAGCAGCTTCCAAGCATCAGTTCATTTTTAGCTTTAGGAAGGGTCAGAGGACCTTTGGGGGAAGCGCCTAATGGGCTGGAAGTTGTGGACAAAGCCGCCCCAGAAGTGTAGGTAATGAGGCAGATCATGGGGGATTAAGCAGAGCGTGGTGCTAAGCTGGAGAAGGTGAAGACTCAGGAGGATTTTACTACTGAAAGGCGAGCAGCCGTATTCAGGCGGACCTGTTGAGGGTCAGCGATCAGGGGTTCATATCAGCTGAAGTTGCAGCCCTGCCCTTGTGCTCCCTATTTGGACACAGATGAAAATCACTTATCTTGCTCCTTGCCTGCTTTGGAGAAGTCCCTGCCCAGGCCCAGGAATTGTCCATGTGCTCAGTGGGTGAAGGGCTAAAGGCCAAGTCCTCTGGCCCCAAGTCTGGGCATCCACTCCTCCCTCACCCCTTGGGGCCACTCTTTGGTTTCTGGGTACTTCTTGCCCAATACCCCTAGGAAACTCTCTTCCTTCTGAGATCTGTCCTCTACCCAGGCCCTTCTGCTACTTCTCCAGTGAGATCTGTTGAAAGGGACTTTCCTATGCAACTACCTGTTTTACTGAATTGTTTCTTAGCCTTACAGGGCCACCTTGTCCCAGAGCCGAGAAGCAGTGGCACCCAGCAGGGCCCCTTCCGGAAAACAGTGTGGGGAAGTGGAAAGCAAAGGTGGCTCTTTCCATTTCTCATCCCTGGGCAGGCCCTCCTCTCACAGGAGCTTGCAGAGCCTGGGTCCTCCTACCCAACGTCGGTTGGGTCCAGTCCCCAGGGAAGTAGCTGGCAGCCGCGGAGACCCCGTCCCACTGCTCCTCTGTGGCAGAATGGGCAGGGAGGAGCACGCCCCTATAAGCAAGCTGCGGAGGGAGCACGGGCTCTGGCTTCTAGTGCCAGCTCTGCTGTGACTCGTCCCGTGTCCTTAGGCAAGTCACCTGACCTTTGATTGTCCAGTTTTCCCCATCTGTCCACTGAGCCCTATCTCCATTCATGAGCATTCCTGAAATAAGTTTCGTAAGGAAGGACGGACCAGTGACTGTTCCTGCTTCTGAATGTGTTGGTTTCAGACGGCCGTTGAGGCCTGCTGGCCGGGATGCCTTGCAGGCTAGCTTTACCGTGAAGCTTCCTGAGGGGCCTTGTCAAAACTTGTGTCAAGTAAATAGGCTTTGCCACAGTCTGAATCTCACTGTGGTTTAGAAATTCGGACTTAAGCTTGTGTCCTGAGCACAAAAGCCAAAACAGCTGGAGACCAGGCTCTTTTTATACTGGGCAAGCTAGCTCTTGCCCATGGCTCTGAAGGGATAGATGGGATCCTTGTGATAGAGTCTCTGTTGGACCTTTTGTAGCTGGCTCATCACTGGAGAAGTTCCAGGCCTAAGGTGTGCCTCCACAGCTATAACGTTCTTGTGTTATTAGACATTCTTATGTTAAGGAAGGTACTGTGGTTCTTATCTTTCTAATCCTTTCCACTTTTTCCTCCACGCACCTCTGTGGAAACTTTGCATGTGTGGGGAAGTAGTGTTTTGGTTTGGGTACTTCTTGGAAATTTACATGACCTTTTAATTCTCTTTTAGGAGATTGGACTGATAGCTCCTCTATATGCCATCCCAGTCTTTGCCTGGCTTTGCTGAGGTGTAGAAAGATTAAATGAGGTTATTAAATGATGTTACTAGCCCAGTGCACGAACCTTCCGCAGCTCCTAGCCATTCCGTTCTGTTCTCTTTCCCCCTAGCGTGGGCATCTTACATGACAAACTCCCCAACTCTCATCGTTATGATCGGCTTGCCGGCCCGAGGCAAAACCTATGTATCCAAGAAACTCACACGGTACCTCAACTGGATTGGGGTGCCCACCAAAGGTAGGTGCAGGTTATTTATTCCTTGGGAAGGGAAATGATTAGTTCTTGGGCCTCCCAGGCCTCCGGAAGACCTGTTCTCCTTGGCATCGTGATTACGGTGTGCTCCTGGCAGAAATAGTGGTAGATTCCTGATTTGCTGGATTTATTCCCTGTTTACAGACTTGTTTCCTCTTGGCCTGGGTAGACTGGCCTAGATTTAACAGCATGCCTTTGATGGTATAGGGCTTTACCTCCATAGAGATTATCTTGTCTAATCCTAGCAGTATTCATGTGAAGTAGCCAAAGTGGCTGAGGAAATTGAAACTCAGACAGTTTAAGACTTGTTCAAGGACTAATACGTCTGAACTTGAGTCTAACTTGACTTTTAATCTGGTATCATTTCCAACATGCCATGGTTCTTTTTTTTTTTTTTTTCCATTTCCTTGGCCACCCTGACATTAGACCAAGAAGTCTCCTTTGGTGGGGCCTTTGTATTTTTTCACTACTGAAGGCTATTGATGTCATCTGCAGTGTTTAATCTTGGGGTATATCGGCGTGAAGCAGTCAAGTCCTATAAGTCCTACGACTTCTTCCGGCATGACAATGAGGAGGCCATGAAGATCCGCAAGTGAGTCTTCCTAGGCCTGACCTCCCGGCCTGCTGTTTCTCTGCCATCACAAGACTAGATGTGGCAGGGCTCGGTTTTCCTTTCAGTAAATATCCTCTGGGGATTTTAACAAAGGTTATTTGGCGGACGGGTCATATTGGCTTGGGTAGGTAGAAGAATAGGCTCAGGGAGAAGTATGTATGTTTAGGGTAAACCTATAGAGCGATACTTTATATGCGTGGGGAAGGAGAAAGATACAGGACAGTCTAAAAACCTCAGTGGGGAAGTTGGAAAGTCTAGTTAGGGGGAAATTTTGACCCCTGGGAAAACTTCAGCGGGAAGGGATGTGACTCCTCCCGCAACCCAGCTGTTCATGTCTCTGGCTGTGCCTGCACTTGCTTTGGCACCATTCTCGCTGGTGTCCTCTGTTCTCGTGGCAGACAGTGTGCTCTGGTGGCGCTGGAAGATGTGAAGGCGTATCTCACTGAGGAGAGCGGGCAGATCGCGGTGAGCCTTCCCTGCCTCTTCCCCATCCTGATCTTCGCCCAGGAGACTGCACAGCCTCCCATTGGATGTGCCTTGGTGGGATTCCAGTTCTCTCGGCCCCCTCATCTGCTTTGTGGCCTCTCTCCCCAGGTGTTCGATGCCACCAATACCACTAGGGAGAGAAGGGACATGATTTTGAGCTTTGCCAAGGAGAACTCCTTCAAGGTAGGGTTTGGCTCCCTGCTGGAGGAAAGGGATGAGTGGAGGTGGGGAGTCAGGAGGGACGTGAGGATCTCTTTGACTGGTGAGTGAGGACAGGCTTGGCTGTCCTTTCCTCTCGTGGGGAATACCCCCAGTCCTTGAGTGTTTTCTTTTAGGTCCTCTCTCAGCCCCTTAGCCTGTATGTCCAAGGCCCTGGGGATGTGGTATTTTTCAATGAAGAGGCCTTGAAGGCCACTTTCATGAAAGAAAATCCTGGGGGATGTGGTGGCCGTGGTGGGGCAGGTGTGAGCACAGGCTGTTAATGAGCAGCCTGGGCACTTTGGACTCATTTGTCACTGCCTTCTCTCCCTGGCCAGGTGTTCTTTGTGGAATCCGTCTGCGATGATCCTGATGTCATTGCTGCCAACATCCTGGTGGGTGACACGCCTGCATACCATCACCTCCCTGTCCTTTCTGCCTCGTATTGTGTGTGGGTGGGTGGGTGAGCGGGGAGAGTCAGCTGGGCAATGAAGAAAGAAATAGTCACATTCCACAGTGCAGGGTGATCTTTTTGATCTGCCAGAGCACCATTTCATACTTCTACAGTCTTCCCTTGGGAGAAGAAACTGAGGCTCTGAGGGATAAATTTAGAATGAGCTGTTGAATGGAACCCAAGACTTAGACCGTGGCTTTGGCCCTGTGTTCTGGGTACCAGCTGGATGCTGAGACCTAGGGCTGTCCTCAGAGTAGATCAGCCCCTTCACTCTCTGTCAGGACCACTACTAGGAAGGTCATCTGTCCCACTACCTTTACACTCAGGTCAGTGCTGTGTGCACTGAGTACCTTGTGCCCTGTATGGTCACGGTATAAACCAATGCCCATTTGATGGGTTGTACTGTGCTGTGTAGACATGGTGTCATGGTAGTGCTTTCCTAGCAGTGTGGGACTGTGAAGCATCTAAGAAGGGACATCTGGTCCAAGTCAGGCATGCATCAGATCAAGCACCCTATTCTAAGTGGTCGTACAGAGAAATTGAAGCCCATTCTGTGTTCCCAGCAGGGCACATAAAGGGATTGGGGCCTAGGAGTAGTTTGAGTTATGTGAGTGCCTCAGTCCTTCAGCCAAGGGCAGGCACATGACTGCCCAGTTGTCTTTCCTTTCTTGGTTGCCAGGGTCACAGGACAGGGAGGGGGCACTCAGTGAACGGGGATTGCCAACAGCTCCAGTGAAAGGGCCCTTCTATGCACTTCCTTCTCTTTATTTAGCATCGGCTGTTTGCAGGAGGGCTGTTAAGGGCACACCTCTGACCAGGCCCTACTCTCCCTATGATTCTAGGAGGTAAAGGTGTCGAGCCCTGACTACCCTGAAAGGAACAGGGAGAATGTGATGGAGGACTTCCTAAAGAGAATTGAGTGCTACAAAGTCACCTATCAACCCCTTGACCCAGACAACTATGACAAGTAAGGTTTAAGGCCATGGTTTGAAGGGCCTGAGGCAGGGGTCTTATTGGAGAAAAGGGCCTTTCTCCCTCTGACCTCAAACTTTCCTCTGACCACCGGACCTGTCATGTTTGCGTCATGCCAGAGAAACAAGAGTGGATTTGTAGCAGCCATGTAGGCTGCGTCTTACACTTGAACAGTGAAGTATTTTTAGCATCAGTTCTTCCTTTCTGTTCTCTACAACAAGATTTCTCAGTCTCCACATGGCTGACATGCTGTGCTGGCTAATTCTTTATCATGGCCGTCGGGGGCTGCCTGTGCACCGTACGATTTGAGCAGCACTCCTGGCCTCCACTTACCAGATACAATAATACTCTCAACCTGCGATGAGCCAGAATGTTTTCAGACATTGCCAGGTGTCTCTGGGGAGCAAAATCAAGTAGTTCTAATCTAGGATGCTGTAGGATATCCTTCAGAGATGTGTCTTCGGCTTTTGATCAGTTTTTAAAGTTTTGTGTGTGTGTGTGTGTGTGTGTATACATTCTGTAACACATCTATTAGTATATAAGTATTTTTATATTACAGAGAAAAGAGTAACATAATATAGAAATATGTTTACATAAACCATAAGTTACATGTATAGATACATATATGTTATATGTATATACGACGTATATGTGATGTATATATATGATACATATAATACAAATAAAGTAAAAATGTGTAACAGACATGAAAATATATGTGAAATATGTATATGTATGTGCATACATATGTATGTGTGTATGTATACATATATATATATATAAAGCATGTAAAGTCCTTAAGAACATGCCTGGCTCATCAGAAATGTCTGATCGGTGCTAGCCATTATCCCTGGGGTAGTGTCTGTTGGCAGTGTGGTATGCAGTATGGGTTAACTTGATGTGCCTGAGGTATAAGAGCCATAGTAAAATGTCAAGTCCATGTTGAAGAAAGGTGTGTACACACAGAAACCTGGAGAATGTGGCTACATAGTTAACAGCTGTGTTTGAGTGAGATAGAGCCCCGCGGCCAAAGAGATGGCAAGATAAATGTGCATAGCTCACTGTTCCATTGTTAGAGGTCTGCTTCATGTTTGAGTCTTTTTTTTTTTTTTAATTTTATTTATTTATTTGTCAGAGAGAGAGAGAGAGCGAGCACAGGCAGACAGAATGGCAGGCAGAGGCAGAGGGAGAAGCAGCCTCCCTGCTAAGCAAGGAGCCGGATGTGGGACTCAGTCCCAGGATGCTGGGATCATGACTTGAGCCAAAGGCAGCCGCTTAACCAACTGAGCCACCCAGGCGTCCCATGTTTGAGTCTTTAAATTCCTTCAAGTAGATTGCCCAAAATGTTTGGAGGTGTTCCTTAATATGGAGATTGAAAACCACTGTTGTAGAAATGGTGTAATTGTATATTCTTCTACATAGAAGTCCTATATAGAAAAACATTCTAGAACAATGTGTGTGTGTGTGTGTGTGTAGATAGTATTTCTGATGGTAGGGTTTGGTTGATTTTTATTTGCATCATTCTACCTTTATTTGAAAATTTTTTGGAATAAGCATTCATCATTTTTTAAAAAATTAAATTCAATTAGCATTGATCATTTTTACAATGAGAAAAATTGATGAGGCAACCACTGCGGACGTACCTCTGAGAGAGGCATGATTAGGCAGGTGCAGGGGACCTGTAGAGATCTCTAAGGTTCTGCTGCCTGCTGCCCTCCCCACCGGCAGTGTCATTCCCCGGCCAGCTCTTGACCTCCTTGGATGGGGGTTGTGCTTCTCACCAGACTCCAGGGTTAGCAAAATTGTCAGGTCACCTCGTCAAACCCTTGACGGAAAGCCTCGATTTTTCATACCCTACTTCTCTACACTACTTGGCACAGTATAGGCACTGAAGAAATGGCAGGCTGGCTGGAAGTTTGGGACATCTTACTTCATCTTGGGTCTGAGGTGTGATGTGTCTCTAACCAATTGGTTCCTTAAATGTGGGTTGGCTCTGACAGGAGAGGAGGAAGAGCTACCTCAAGCCCACAAGTAATTATGGGAATCCTTCCCTTCCCGCTCTTATATCCTCAGATTTTCATTCCCAGGGATTCTCTTTTCTCCTTCTCTGTCCCAGGGATCTCTCTTTCATCAAGGTGATAAATGTGGGCCAGCGATTTTTAGTCAACAGAGTCCAGGACTACATCCAGAGCAAGATAGTCTACTACCTCATGAATATCCACGTGCAACCTCGCACCATTTACCTTTGCCGGCATGGAGAGAGCGAGTTCAACCTCTTGGGGAAGATTGGGGGTGACTCTGGCCTCTCGGTGCGGGGAAAACAGGTGAGGCGCCTGACAGCCGGCTGGATTTCCCAGGCTTAGAGTTGGAGAAAGAGCATGGTAGAGGGCATCTCTCTCTCTCTCTCTCTCTCTCTTTTTTTTTTTTCCCCCGAGGTCATCTCTCTTATCCCCTTACTTCTTCCTCAGTCCCGCTGGGGCTGCGGCTGTGGTTTCAGATAATCAAGCAAACGCTGAAGACCTCCTCTTGTCCACCAATTCTGGCTGTGTTGTAGTGTGGTAACTTGGAACCCCTCCTGCTGTTCACTCAACTGTCAGATATTTATTGGGTGCAACTTGTGTGCCGAGCACAGCAGAGGATGCTCCAGGGGAAGTTCATTTCCTCTTGGGTTTATCAGAACTGTGTAGCACCTTTTGGATTTTGACCGTGGTCTTACACGTTCCTTATAGGCCAAGTTAGCAATTGTGTGTGTGTGTTTATATGTGCACATGCGCACGTGTTTGTCTCCTTTTAAAATTTTTAATCTCTGACCCCAGTTTGCCCAGGCTCTAAGGAAGTTTCTGGAGGAACAGGAGATAGCAGACCTCAAAGTGTGGACAAGCCAGCTAAAGAGGACTATCCAAACCGCCGAATCCCTGGGTGTGACCTATGAGCAGTGGAAGATTCTGAATGAGATCGATGCTGTGAGTAGGAATTCTGATGGCTACAAAGCCAGTAAGTCTTATTCAGGCAGGAACTCTCAGAGATCACAATACGGGCAGTTTTATCTAGAAAACTAGAACTACCAGGTAGTAGTTCTAGTCGGGGGGTGGGAACAATTGCATCCTAGTTAGGGTTTCCTGCATGTTTGAGATCCTGTGCCAGGGACAGGCCCAGACCAATCTGGGACCAGCACCTCTGACATCTGGGGACAGTGCAGCTCCATTTTGTTCCTTTGGATATTTTTCTCCCAGGAAAAAGAAATAGCTAACAACTCACTTCTTTAATTTCTGCTTAGATCGTTTGTCAGCTTTTCTGGAAAATTCCTTTCCAAATTTTTTCTTGGCTTTCTCTGTCCTTGAGCACAAAAGCAGGCATTTCTTTTTCTTTTCTTCCTCTGTACCTTTTTATGCTTTCTGCAAGAATTTTCTAGTCCCTTCAGTTTCTCCTCCTTTTCTGCTTCCTGTTCCCTTTAACCTACTGACTTTTCTTGGACCTTTTAACTTCTCTGAAGTAGTTGTAGCAAGTGGCAGCTTAAGCTCGAGAACCCACATCCTCTGTGCAGTGGCCCTCCCCCTGCCCGTCCCAGCCACCAGGGCCCGTTGGTGGCACTACAGGCCAGGACCTAGCACAGTGCTGGGCACGTAGTAAGAAGCCAGGATTCCTTAGTGTCGCCTCCGTTGTGTGTGTTGGGGTGGGGGCGTGTGTGTTGCTCTCCCTCCTGCAGCCGGTGTGGCTCCCTGCAGGGCGTGTGTGAGGAGATGACCTATGCGCAGATTGAGAAGCAGTACCCAGACGAGTTCGCGCTTCGAGATCAAGAGAAATACCTGTACCGGTACCCTGGTGGGGAGGTGAGATTTCCCCTCAGGTGGGGCGACTGCCCCAGCAGAGGCTGGGGGTTTAGCTTTAATTTGGGGAAAGGATTAAATGGGACGTGTTGGGTCTAGAAAGGGTAGTCAAACCATTGTGTTGTTTTGTCCTCCGACTTTGGGTCACAGTGTGTTTAATTCAGGTTAGTTGAACATCTCATTAAGATCTCCAGGGAAAAGGTGACAGGATGTCTTGTATGTTGATTAATTGTAGAATCAGCATCTTCTTTTTTACTTCTTTTTTTCGTTCCACTCTCTCAGTCCCACCCCGACCCAAGCAGGTATAGGCCCCCGAGTCAGTCTGTGGGGTGTGAATGACCTCCCTGTCATCTTGCGCGTTTGAGGCTGTTCTCTGGCCTGAGGGCCTTCGTAGTCTAGAGCCATGGGAGGCCCAGGTAACTAAAACCAATGGCAGAGGTCCAGGAAACCCCTCAGAGCCTCTCGTTGCCTCATGTGCTGCCTGTTCGTCTGTGGGAAGGAAAAAAGACACAGGCTGAGTTTACATTTCCTCTTTTTGACCTGTAGCTTTCTCGATCTGAATGTTGCTCTTGAAAGGTCTGAGGATTCTCAAGAGATCATGGGGCTGGGGGGTGTTAGCAGGCGACACGAAGTCGCTGACCCTCCAGGAGGAAAGCCAGCTGGGGAAGAAGGAGAAGTAGCCTCCTGACTCCGGAGCCAGCCACTGACTTGGCTGCCAGCCTGTGCCTGGCCCCCTACCAGTCGGCTTCACTTCCCCCACAGTCGTACCAGGACCTGGTACAGCGGCTGGAGCCTGTCATCATGGAGCTGGAGCGTCAGGGCAACGTCCTCGTCATCTCCCACCAGGCTGTCATGCGCTGCCTGCTGGCCTACTTCTTGGATAAGGGTGCAGGTGACATTTGAGGGAAGGGCCAGGGGACACATTCATGGGGAGAGGGCTGGACTAGGGGCGGCACAAGGATCCCGGGCAACAGAGCCTCCCCCTCTTCCCCTCAGAGTGGGGTGCATTCTTCAGACAGCAATATGGGGCTCCTAGCAGCCACTGGGCCAACTACTTGCTGAATTGACCCCTCTGGTACAAAAGCCCCCAGTGGAGAGTGGCCACTGCTGGAGCTCCTTAATCCTGCTTGGCTAAAGGGCCAGTGTTCAGCCGTCCCTCCTGGCAGGATCAGAAAAGTGGTTGAACGTTCGCGGCTTGTTATTTGACTCCAAGGAGGGTGGTGTCTTAGAAGCATCTTCATCCTTTGGATTCATCATAGGACAGTTTCTGCGTAAAGCCATAAGGAAGTTGCTGGCTTTTCTGACCCTTCCCTTCCCTTCCTGATCTATCTGAGCTGCTGGGCAGCCTGCACGTGGGCCTTGGGTACACCCAGGTGGCCACGATCTTCCCCTCCACTGGGTGCTGGCTACTCCTGTTTTGCCTGCATGGAAGGATCTAAAATGGCTTGCTTTCCTTCCTTAGCCTCTTAGTAGCGTGGGCAGCTTCTTTGGTGACCGTCCTATTAATTGTCTCTGGTTTAGGGGAGGAACTGTACAATTCTACATCAGGGTGGAAAAAACTCATGAGCTCCTTAGAGTCTCCCGCTAACTTGACCTTAATCCATAGTACTAAGAGACGTCTCTCACCTGGTCTTTCTCTCTTCAGATGAGCTACCATATTTGAGGTGTCCCCTTCATACCATCTTCAAACTTACTCCTGTGGCCTACGGTAACTATGATCTTAGCAGCGGGGCAGGAGGTGGGGATTGAAGAAAGTCTGGAAGTTCAACTTTATCATCCCTGTATAGCAGGGAGATTCCATCAGTGCTTTCCATTTTTAAAAGGATGTATGGGGGTGCCTGGGTGGCTCAGTCAGTTAAGTGTCTGCTTCAGCTCAGGTCATGATTTCTGGGTCCTGGGATTGAGTCCCACATCAGGCTCCCTACTCAGTGGGGAGCCTGCTTCTCCCTCTGCCCCTCTCCTTGCTCATGCTCTGCATCTCTCTTTAATAAATGAATAAAATCTTTAAAAAAAAAGGATATATGTATATATTTAGGAATATATACATTCTTTTATGGTATGTTTTCCATACTGAATCTAAGGAATTTTCCTTGGAGATTTTTTTCCTGAAGGCTTTCTCTTTCCTCTGCTTCCTCAGGATGTAAAGTGGAAACCATTAAACTCAATGTGGAGGCTGTGAACACGCACCGTGACAAGCCAACCGTAAGTACTTTCCCCAGATGAACATGCAGGTTCCCTGCCACCTTGAGTCTTTGAACCTTTGACATCACAAGACTGGGGTTTTGTTTATGTACAAAAGGGGAACATATCCAGAACTCATGTCCTATGTAGTCTGCTTATTTCCAAAAGGAAGAGATGTTGGAATTATTGCTTTTTAAAATTAGTCCTGCTTTCATGAGTCTTAACCTTGAAAGTTGGCTCCTGGAAATCCAGTTAAATTTGGGAAACGTTTGGCCGAAGTCAAATATAGATATTCCCCTCACCCCACCCCCGGGAGTGCTCCCTTTAGAAGTAGGACCCAGAAGAGCCTATAAGGTGGGGTCAAGAGGTATAGGGTTTATTTCTAGGTCTGTCCTGATGACCTGTGTGATCTTAAGTAAGCCCCTTCCTTTTGTGGGTCCTCCTTCCTCCTTTGGAATAAGATGCTCAAGGAGCTGCTCCTTCTACAACCCTTTAGCTTCCTGGGACTAGGGCTAAGGCCATGGCCCATGTCTTAGGAGAGACTGTCTGCAGAGGAACAGGAGTGGAGGAAACTGTTGTGGTTACAAGCATTATTTAACCTTTATGAGTGAGCTTTTGGCTTGGCTTTCATTTGTGTGGTGTCCCTCCATTTCCAATCAGAACAACTTCCCCAAGAACCAAACCCCTGTAAGGATGAGAAGGAACAGCTTTACGCCTCTGTCCAGTTCGAATACAGTAAGGCGTCCAAGAAATTACAGTGTTGGGAGCCGGCCCCTCAAGCCCCTCAGCCCTCTCCGTGCCCTGGACACGCAAGAAGGGGCCGACCAGCCGAAGACCCAAGTCAGCATTCCGGTGGTGTAACCGTGTGTCCCCTCCAGGCTTGGCCTCCTGCCCTTGTCACTAAGCACCAAGGAGTCATTTAACTTTCAGCCCCCACCCCCAACACCCCACCATGGATCTTAACACAGAACGTGAGCTCATGTGTTTCCAGACCAATCTTAGCGGTTCTCCAGAGTGAAACATGTCCCCCCACCCTGGGGCAATTTGACCAGCGGGTGTTTTAGGACATGTCCTCAGTTGCAGTGGTCTGGAGGAGGAGGGAAAAGGATACACTCCCCTGGGTGCTTAGCATAGCTGGGTCTGAGGTTAAGCCTGCCGCATAAACTTGGTTCTTGTCCCTGATGTCTAAACTCCTCACATCCTTGTGTTGGTAAAGTGGGGGGCGGGGTGGAGGGGGAGACAGAGCCCATTTTTCCTTCACCTTTGTCTCTTCGAGGTGTGCTTTACTCACAGTCCTTACTTGCCTGCTTTGTTCCCCCCTTGCTCACTTGCCCTTTGGACCGTCCAGTGTGATGCATGGCATTGTCTTCGTGGTTTCTGTTGAGGAGGGAAGGGGTGGTTGGCGAGAGAGCAGTCTAGGCTCTGTTGGTGCTCTCTGCAGGGGGCCTCAACGGATCCAGACTGGGGGAGCTTTTTTTCTTTCCCCTCTCCTTTCCTCTCAAGCCAGGTCCTGAAAGGGTCAGCCCAGGCTGCAGACCATCCACAGATGCTCTGGGGCCTGCAAGTGGACGTAGGGTGAGAGCTCGTGCCTCCTCTCACGAGAGCCAGTGCTAAGTCTGCGAGGCTCTGGGGGACTTGGGCCCGAGGATGTGCGAAATATCTCGGTTGGTATTATTCACTTCAGGAGCGAGACATGGATCTTTCTGGCCGCTGTGGAATGACGTTTAGGAGAATAGGACGTTCTCGAGCTCTTGCAGGGCTCTCGTAGAGCAGGCATGTCTTTTGTCACTGGCTCCCAGCTTTGCCAGCCACAGCACCTTTCCTGCCGAGGCCAGTGACCTCTGGGATTATTTAGAAGGACAGAGATGAAAGAGTCACCACTGACACTGGAATTGCTCAGGGCAAGTGGCAGAGAAGAGTTCACTAGAGCTTTTTATTTTCCTGTAATGTTCAACATTCTCCTCTCTACCTTAAAAAAATTTTGCATGAGCAAAGTTGTGTGTGTGTGTTGTTTTGTTTTGTTTTTTTCCCCTAAATGTGGAAAGACCTGGCCATGAATTTACTCTCCCTCGCTGGTGTATTCTTTTATTTCATGTTGGTGTCCAGGAGTCTTTGGGACCCTGAGGGGTCTAGCTCTTAATTATCTGGAATTGCCTATTCACTTTTGTCATTTTATTTTCTCTGTAGGGATAACCAGGAAACATTTAGAGCAGAGGATTCTTAGCTCCTTGGTGCCCCCCCCCAGTTCTGTACATAAAACATGAATATATGTGCAGTTTTCTGAGAGAGAAGTCACTTTGCTCATGATGGAATGAGTCTCTACCTTAAAGTTAGCAATTGTCTTTCGGAGGAAACCAGCGAGAGCAAGTGACCTATTTGCCAAGGGTCTTTTTGTTTGGTAATAGAAGACCTTTTCTCATGGTTCTTGTCCGGGAGCACTCATTAGAAACCTCTGTAGAATTTTCGAAGCACATACATGTTCCAGTCCACTCCAGGCTTAATACGAACTCAAAACCTCTGGACATGTATGTGTTGAAATAACTTCCCTGAAGATTCTGATTCATATTCAAGGTTAGCTGTGGGGAGAAATACTTGGACTAGTTCCTTGGACAGATCATCAGCCCAGGAATTCTGAATTCCTTTTGGCTCTGAAAGGACAATTCTCTAGAGTTAGACGTCTGAGCAGGTGACAGTATTACAACATGTGACCCCCTTGAAGGCAGGCTGCTGTGTTTTAGAGGGTTACTCTGGGTTCTCGTTCCATCTTTAACTTTCTACACTGCAGGGTGATGTGGAACAAGTCGCTGGGTGAGGAAGTATCCTCGGGTAATAGCTGGGAGTGGTCAGCGCTCCGGATAAAGGCACAGAGATAAAACCAGTAGGATATAAAGGTTATCATCACAGGCAGCTGACTTGTGACCTTGAGTCCTTCATTCTTTTTTTTTTTTTTTAAAGATTTTTTATTTATTTATTTGACCCAGAGAGAATGAGATCACAAGTAGGCAGAGAGGCAGGCTCCCCGCTGAGCAGAGAGCCCAATGTAGGGCTCCATCCCAGGACCCTGAGATCATGATCTGAGCTGAAGGCAGAGGCTTAACCCACTGAGCCACCCAGGCGCCCCCCTTCATTCTTAAGTCCCAAGTAGAGTAGGACATCACAGTGTTTCCGGTGGCTGCTTGCCAGCTTCTGGTCCTCAGTGCGTCTAACCTGCTGTTCCTGTTTGGCCACTATATTCTGGGTGCATGGTGTCTTTGTGGGAATTCAGACTGGGTGGGGGCGCTGATGGTGATTGGGTACATAGAATTGGAAGAAAAGGTCGTTGCCCTGAAGAAGGTTATTTTTAGAGACAGGGTATATAATTTAGAATAAATGAATTTTTGTGAACGAGCAACACATTGAGTCTGTAACTGTGGGCATTGAAGTGGAGTTCCAGATTCCTTCAGACTAAAGGGGGGGGTGGCAGGTGAGAATCCTTCCCCTCCCAGTGAGAATGAGATGTGGTCTAGGTGGCATGTGGGGTGCTTTTACAAGGTGGCTTCATCTAACCTTCCTTGGCTGGCAGCACCCTTAGCCCAAATGATTATTCATCCCCCCCACCCCCACCATGCGCCATAAGAATCATTCAGAGCTAAGGAATGACAAGCAGGAGCATTTTGATCCAAAGACTTTGGATTTGGGCTGTGCATATTCTTAGTGAGAGGAAGATTTTCTAACTCATGAGCATTGGGTTATCCTGTTGTAAACCGCAGCCGGAGCCACAGGTCCCCGGGATGTTCACTGTGGCCCTCAGCCTGCTCCTTACTTTGCCACTCTCCCCCTGTGCTAGTTTGCTTCTCCCAAAAGAGGAGCCTGAGGTAGTCTTTTTAGTCTCGGGGCACACAAGAAATTAGAACTTGACTGTAGCATTCTTCAGTTCTAGAGCAGGAGCCCTCCAGAGAAGTTTCTGCAGGAAGAAGCCAGGAGGATACAGAATGGCATAGAGCTCTTCCTCCGAATTTTAGAGAAGTTCTACTTTCTATCTTTTCTATCCTCCTCTTCCTTGCTTACTGAATGTGTATTGGTAGCATCCGCACATTGCTGTAGTTATGTCTGTGTCACAGATTCTACAAAGAAAGGATGGATTCCAGAGCACCTTTTGCTAAGGCTTTTGGTTTCATTGTGGGAGAAATAGGTGAAGGCTTTAGTATTTCATCTATTAAATGATTTAATTTAGTAAATGGGGAGAGGAAAATCCCTGTATATTTTATTTTGTTGCTTGGAAACCGAGTGATGAATTTTGTGACACACGTGAAAGAGGAATCTGAAGCAGATTTAGAGAACTAGCTTCGCTTGTCTCTTAATCCTCAAATTAGAATTTCCTTCTTATTAATCTGTATTGTCTTTGGTTTTGTCTTGATAATGGGATTGTTTTACATTCAGCTGCAAAGCAGAACTAGAAAATCTTAAAAACATGCATTGTGTAGGGGTCTGCCCTATCTTACTGTCTCTGGGTTTGTTTGTTTGTTTGTTTCTCCCCCAAGGAGTTAGAATTAGGAATACGTGTCTGCGTTCCCAGGCTGAACGGACGAGTGTTTCCTTTGAGGTTCTGGTGTTCCTCTTTGCAACCCACAAATGGATCTGCAGAAGCACCTGTATTCTCAAGAAATGTGACATAACTTTGAAAATAAATCCATCTTACAGTTTTTCTCTGAGTAGGAGGTCTAGGTTTTGGAGAAATTCATTGGTGCTTGGGGTAGCGAAAGGAGAGAGGGAAGAATGTCTAATGATGCAGAAAACTATACTATATCTGTGTTACACAGACTTACAGACATTCCATTGTTTCTCCTGAGTTCAGAAGCCATGTTGTTTTTGTTTTCAAGAAATTTGCTCAATTTACCCAGTTTTCCTAGCACGTATTTTGACATGGTCATGTTTTAAAATAGTTTAAAAAATATCTAACACTTGAGCCAGGTTGTGACATTGGCAGGATGGATCTCTGACTTCCCAGAGAGGTGATTCAGTCATCAGAAGTATGTCCAGGAACTTAATATGGATGCATAATGTCCGGAAGACTGTATCTAGCAGCATCCACATGCTTACCGACTGGCAGGCCCTGGGCGAGTCTGTACGCTGACTGACTGACTGACTCCAGTAGGGTCTTGCAATCTGACTGTCTTTTTTCTAATTGTACCAGTTAGTAATATGGGCATATTATTGTAATTTTGTGTCTGTTGCATGTGTCCTACAAAGAAAGGAAGTAAACACTTTACCTTTTTTTCAGGGGGAAGTTCTGTACTTACCGATTTTTAGTAGACGTTTCTTTTAAGAGTAGCAGCCAAATTCTCATCATTTTGTAGAAAATAAAGGTTGAACTTCACTTCTGTGTGATATTTTGTAAACTTGGTGAAGGAAATACCTCCTCAAAGCCAGAAATTATTACCTCTACCTGCATTCATTCTTCCCACTCCCCCACCTCTAGGCAGGATTTCCCTTTCACTGTCTGCTGATGAACCTTCTGTGTCCTCAGCTTCCCTGTCACAGGATAGAGCAGTGGCTAATGCTGCTGTTTTCAGTCTGCCGTGGGTTTGGCTTTTATTCATAAAATCTAATAAATAAAAATGCAAAGGAAATTTTGCATTTAAAAATTGATCTTAAGAGTTGGCAAAGGTATTCTTTCCAGTCAGCCTTTCACTGGGGATCTAGGACCAATATTTATCAACCCAGTGTTTTTGTACTTGAATTGCTTGTATACATTTTCTTTTTATTGTGTTGAAATAACAAAATCCACTCGTTCTGATATGGTGATGGTTTTACTGTGGCAAGAGCGAAAGACTGATCACCAGCTGTGCCCCTTGGAGGGGGTTGGAAATGGTTGAAGGGAATGGACTGAATTGGGAAGTCATGTACTAGAGTTATGCTGCAAATCGATTTCCTAGGCACAGCTCTGGTGAAAAAGGAATGTGAGTCCTTACCAGCATTCTGATTTAATCTGGTGACATTGATATCAAAATATGCCACTCAGAGCCACATAAGGTGTGTATAACTGTATTTGAAATATGCTTTTCTGTGTGTGTGTGTGTGTGTGTGTGTGTGTGTATAGAATTGGTAAATAAAAATGTTGAGTAACTTGAACCTATCAGAAGGCTTCTGGGTTTTTTGTTTTGTATTTTGGGTTGTGTTTTCCACCCACTCCCCCTACCTCCAAAACGGTCTCCTGCTGCTCCATGATTGGGCCTCAGAGGAGACAAAGCCCGTTGGCCGTGCGATGGGAGTCCTTGGTGTGGGCATGGCTCTCTTCCACCACCTTCTGGGAAAGATGGGAAGGACATTATGGAAGGCACGTGAACTGTGTACTTTTTGGCCCCTCTACAAGAATTAAGAAAAAATTACCTTTGCCCGAACCGTACTATGAATCCCGTTAACCACATGTAACTCATTATCATAAAGGAAAAAGTATGGAGATCTCTTAGAATTTAGTGGGCTGTTCCTTCTAAAACATGACCCACCTGTTTCTAAAGAGCTTACCATCAACAGAATGAAAAGGCATTTAACTTCTGGGACAGGAAATACAGGTGGAACTGTGTCACCACCTCACGCCTCATTCGTGTCAGCCCGGCAAAGAGCTGGAGCTCCTTAGACATGCAGCCTCTGGGGCCTTGTCACGGGGTCCCTGAATTAGAATCGCCACCTTAATAGGATGACCAAGTGATTCCCATGCACAAACTGATGCTTGAGAAGCACTCCTCTAGGGGGAGGAATTCCTCACGAAACACTCGGTCTCAGTTTATGGGAAATCAGTTTATGATTTGTGCTCTGACGAATTTCAGAAGGTCTGGGATAGCTACAACCGTAGAGACCCTCCTCAGAAGCCAAGGAGCCCCTGACTGCAAAGCCATTTGGTCAGCATGGTCCTTTGGCTGATAGTAGCCTACATGCTCTCCTTTTACCACAGGATTTCCTGCAGCTTCTACCTCCTATCTTGGGTGTATAGCTTAGTGCCCGGTCCAACATGGTTACAAGGGTCGGTTTCTCAGGGACAGGAGCCTGTGACTGTACTGTTGGAGTTTGGTAAAGGGTAAAGGGGTGTGTGCCCACACAACCGAGGGTCCGTCCGTGCATGTGTGCAGAGGTGGGCCTGTGGGCAGTGGGGAAGCAGCAGGTGGGTGGGGGAGGGGTCCTGCTTTACTTTGATTTGATTCTGGCAGTGGCATAATACTTTCTCTCTCTGGCTCGTAGGCAGAGACGGGGTTGGCTGTGCACAGGCACTCTTCGGCGTCCCTCACACCGCTTTGCTGATGATGTAAAGGTTGAAGCCAGACCCCTCCAAGATCTACTTCAAGGCTGTTGATGGCAGCCCCACGGGGGCTCTATCAGGAAGTTAAGCTGGGATTGGACATTTGAGGCCACCAAAATGAGGCCTGGAAAAAACATTACATTTCTTCCCCTCATGCCTAATGGGAATACGTGTTACACGGGAAAACTTAAGTCCCCTGTGCCTCAAAACATCTAACAGCCCAACCCGATCGGTTTGTATGATCTCTTTGCTGGGTGTGACCCCAGTTGGCCAGTCTTGTTCCTTTTCAGCCTTTAACTTCTACCTGCGATTGTATCCCTGGCTGCCTCTTCTTTTCTGGAACGCAAATGGCACCTCTTCAGACTTGTTTCTGAGTGAGAGGGCTGCACCACCATGAGCCTGTTCTGTGCTGTAAGAGCTGGTCTCTGCGTCCGTTCCAGCGAGCAGGCTAGAGGACCTTATATATATGTTAGCCATCCCTTTTCTGTCACGTTGGAAATGAGATAAATTCAGCAGGTGAGTGGAGGGTATCTGAGAAATTCAGTCCCTGTAATGTCTTTTCAGCGGTGGTGGAAGGGCAGCGTCAGCTACCTTTTCACAGAGAGAAGTTTTTCCTTGTTCCAGGCCCTGTAAGGGCAGGATCTGACTGCAAGACTCCCCAGAATGGGTCCCTGTCTTCAAAGTACCCTTTTCCGAAGTAGCTACTGTATTTCCTACCTGATGCTGCGTCCCCTCACAGCGGCAGAGGGAGGCGTCATTCTCCAGTGGTTGGGAATGAGGGTTGGAGAGAAAAGTAGGGCGCTATTGACAGGACCTGAAGAAGTGAAGAGGGTTCCTTGGGAATCAACTGTACCAGGGAGTTTTTGCTTCAAACCAGGCTCAGGGGGCATGGCTTTCTGTGGGGTCTGTCACTATGATGCGGTCTCTATGAAAGCTGCGGATGTGGCTTCGAGAGCAGCTGGTCTTCTGATGCCTGCCTCTTAGCTAATTGTCTCTAGTGGGGTCTCCTGGTAATTTATGTAGAACACTGGGGTGGGGGGTGGGCAGGGGAGACCCCAGTCTTTGAGGCATCTATCATTTGGCTTCCAGTAAAGATAAGCCAGGTAATTCTCTAGATCAGTGTGAATCTCTGTCAATGTGATTTTGATGTTAATAGTCCAATTGAGGGTATAGAAGCTCCAGAAGATAAGTATCTTACAAGCAAAAAAAATTTTTTTTAAAGAATAGTAAGTTTTTTAGCTTTTTAAATAATTTTTCCCTTTCATGCAGATACCCTCTTGCTGGGCAAGAGGGTAAGTAACAAGAAAAGAAAGAAATGCATTTTTTCCCCAAATGGTTCTTTTATACTGTGGATGATATGGGGTTCCCTTACCTAAGATGTGATGAGCTGGGCTGCGGGCAGTTCAGCATCCCGGAACCAGGAGCTTATTTTATACGCACAAAGCTGCCTTCAGAAAGGCTCCTGACTCTGCTCTGTAGCAGAGGATTTTCATCTGGCCTCTCTGAGCGTGCAGAACTGTCACTATTTTGTTGTTTTGCTGCGGTTTTCTTTCTGCATCTAAACGCAGTGTCTGTTGATGATCAGATAATGTTTTTACTTATTTATTCATTCATGTGTGATATTTTTAAGTCCCATGTGAGTGTGAGTGTTTGCATGTGTTTGATCAGAATGTAAGATAATTGGTGTTTTTTGGTAGAAATTGAGGTAGTTTGAGATTTTAAATGTGATGTCCATAGTATTACCTTAAATTAAATTTCTAAGGTCTAGGTGTCTGTCTTCTGTAAAAGGATGGCAACGATGTTAAGGCACGGCGGATTTCTTTTGAGTACTTTTTTTCTCGTTGATTTATAAGTATCAACCAAGAGATGCATTTCTCTGGAGAGAAGTTTATCTCCTGGATAAATAAAATCATGCTAAAATATGTCAGTAATCTGTATTTCTTTGTAATAAGAAATATAATAAAAGTTATTTTTAATTTAAAGATATAATTAATTTTTGAAATCACCACAAAATGGGATAACATTTGGTACATTATACATATGCAAAATGTTAATAACATCATGCAAAATGTCTTTGAAACTAACTTCTTGACAATGATTCTCAAAATCTTAGGTCATATGTATATTTCCAGCTAGCGTTTGAATTGGTGACTCCTGCCTTTATCAAGTTACACTGGCATTTCAAAATGATATCAGTGGGATCATTATTGCCATACACTATTAATTAAATGAATTAACAATGAATTTGTTAACAAATCTTTAATGATCATCAGTTGGTTGTTATGCAGTGAGTAAAACCCAGTCCTTGTTCCCTGTCCTTAGAAAAGATCTCCAAGCACTTTTGCAGGTGTTAGTCTTACCCAGCCATCAAGCCATCATTTGTAGAAGGACAAGCACATCTGGGCTCATTCTTACTTCACAAATAGGTGAATGAACACCCTTATTAAGTGACTTACCTTGACACTGATGGAGTTCTTGTCAAAGCCCATACCTCAAAACAAGGTAAATGGTAAGAAGTGTAACAGTGAGGGCCCAACAAACATATAACATGCTTTTTAAAATCTAGCTAGAAACTTCATAAAGATACCAGAATTAGAATGACTCCTTAGAGAGTGCTCCATTGTTGGGTGACGGTCACTATTTGGCTTATTTCTGTAGCCTTAATTATTCCCTCATGACTTCAGCCTCTCCAGGATCTTTCCTGGGGACTCTCTGTGAGGAGGCTGGCCTTGCTAGCTTGCCCTGGTTGGTGACAAGCCCACTGGCACTTCCCGTGGCAGTCCAGCAATGGCCCATTGCTTTATGGTCTTGAAGTACTCCCACCATCCAACCTACATTCATTGTCTTGAACTCATCTGAGAATTTGACAAAAGCTGAGGCCCCTTTCCCTGACAAAAGGTAGATATGCATCACTTTCACATACATCCCGACCTCAGGGTAGCAAAGCAGGAGTTAGATGATAATGTACACACATATCCCATCTCCCTTTCTTTTCTTTGACATTAAAAAAAAAATCCATCCATTTGATACTAACTTCTTTAAGCAGAGGGGAAGAATTTGTGGGATTCTGAAATGCTTACTTTTTTAAAACCAGACATTGTAGAATACTTAGGAATTTGAATGGATTGTAACAAGGATAGCTTCACTAACCTCTGGGGCAGCAGGGGCATGGGTGTAGGGGGTGATAATTTCTTTTTCTTAATCTCAAGGCACCTGCTGCATCTCTTGTGCTCATTAAACCAGTGTCACACCATTCCCATCACCACAGGCAGAGCACCTCACTTCTGAGCTCCCTTCTGAATTCCCAAGGGCACCTAGATACCTTCTTGCTGGTATGCTGTACCTTCCCTGTGAAGACTAGGTCAGATTCCAGAGACCAGCTTCTCCTCACGATTAAAGGAAATAATTTCACAAGCACAGGACGCCCTGAGAAGCGGTGTTCCAGAGCTAATAGGGCCTTGCCTCAAAACGGATAGTACCTTCACTGAGCATCCAGGCTATTTTCAGAGAACAGCTTTTTTAGTCATTTGGATTTTCTTCCTTAGTGACCCTTTTACCTTATTTTTACATTCAATTTTCACGCCAGAGTGTCTCCTCGTTTGTCCTTTGCCTTTTCAGAATTTGACCGAAAGAGAAATAGTATCTGGGCACAATTTAATAAAGTCTATTAACCATTCTTTTCTGAAATGCTTACTTTTTAAAAACCAGACATTGTAGAATACTTAGGAATTTAAATTTAAATTTAAATTCCTGGGTCATTTTACTCAAACCCTGGTAGAGCCTTCTTTTTTTTTGCATTGATCAGTGTCTCAGATTAGAAGGTGAAGGTGCCAGCTATCCCGGAACAGCAGCACCTTTTATGTGACGGGAGGTTACTCTCCCCTGCAAGGTGGATAGAGATCAGTAGCCTAGGGCAGGAATGATGCTTCCTCCATCATCTCAGGCCTTCTGCCCTGCAGTCCTTCTGTGCTTCTATCGTGTTAACTCATCATCCTCAGAATGTGTTGAAGTCTATCCGCTAGTACCATGTGGCTATGGGAGCTCCAGGAATCCTGTCTCCATTTCAGTCAGCAGGAAAGAGCACAAAGGCACACTAACTTCTTGCTGTCGTGCCTGTCTGTCTCTACTCACCATCAAAGCTCATACTACAGTGTTTCATGAAGAATTAGGGCTTTAAAAAATTTCTATGAGTTTTTGTCTCATGTAATCTGCATAAAGGCTAGTTTTCTGGCTCAAGTTTTTCTTGGTGAAGCATTCAGGAAACAACTAATACATTAAAAAAATCATTGGAAAAACATTTTAAACTTTTTCTGAATTGCCTTGACAAAGACCAAAGAGAATCTAATCATAACCTACTAGAGAATTTAAAGTCATCTTTTTCCAATTCTCTTAAAACCTTACACACACACACACACACACACACACACACACACACACAAAGTTTAACTCCCCATACCTCCTGCCAGCCTAAGCCCTGCAGCCTTTCCGGCTCACTTCCTGATCACTTCACGAGTTGCTATCTGCTCATTCTTTTGCTGAGCAAGCAAACCAGTCAGTATAACTTCAGCACTTTCCCTGTTACCTCAGTGCTCCAGAAAATCTGGATTGATCAAATTGCCCTTAATGTCCAAAGGTCTAGAAGGGTTTGTGAATTCTCATTTATTAATTTTGCTAAGCCTGGACACTTGTAATAAAATGTATAATCCTAAAATTCCTTATATGTAATCCCCCAATCCAAAAAGCTTTGAAAACAAAGTTTTCTTCCAATTTATTTGACAGGAAAATATGACCTAAACTTCGTGAGGATATTTATAGTCTCCATATATCTCACTTAGTGTAAATATTTTTATATTTCATAGAGAAATAAGACAATATTATACATAATATGGTATCTTTCTAAAGCCCTCATCTGAATCTAAAATAAACCATTGAGAGGAAGGATTATTTGCAATTATTTCCTATAGTAATGCTCTATTTTATTAGGAATTTAGGAGTTCATCATTTAGGAATAAACAAATTCCTAATTTTAAGAGTAAGCAAAATTTTCTTTCACTATTTTTAAAATCATTTATTGTACAAACATATACATTAGCTGCTGGAGAACTTATATGCTTCAAGAAATAGACTATGTGGTATGTTAAATAAAATTACTTCAAACCTGACAAGAGAGACAAAAAAGAAATCGCTGAAGAAATTTTTCCATGGGTAACTGAGTATTGTAGACCCTCTCTGGGGTTGTTGATTTCATGGGAGTGTGTAATTTTGATTGACTTTCTATTAATTAGGTATTTTTTTTACAACTCTATAAGACTAGAGGTTCATTTGTAGAAAATGGATAAGAATGCAGATGATTCTTTTCTGAAAACAATGCAAATATTCCTGATAAGGCAAATGCATTTTGTCCTGTAGAGATTCAATAAATTTCTATCAGTTGGAAAAGCTCATTCCAAATATTATAGTTTGTTGCCATCTGTGGTATTAAACAGTTTTACATCAGTTAGAGAAGTCACTTCAGAAGGCCTTTGACTTGAATATTTAAATCTGTTCCTCAAATTCTTCTTTGAATTAGTTGTAGCATCTAAATGTTTCTCTGATTAATGAGCTGAATAAAATCTTTGACACATTTCATCATATACTTATATGAGTATTAGTATACTTATATGAGTATACGATTACCCTTTCGAGAACCACACTTTAAAAGGTGCTTGCAGAGGCGCCTGGGTGGCTCAGTTGGTTAAGCGTCTGCCTTTGGCTCAGGTTATGATCCCAGGATGCTGGGATCGAGTCCCACATTGAGCTCCTTGCTCAGCGGAGAGTCTGTTTCTCCCTCTGCCGGCTGCTCCTCCTGCTTGTGCTCTCTCTCTCTAACAAATAAATAAATAAAAATCTTAAAAAAATGAAAGACACTTGCACTATAGGAACTCACATATTTGTTGAGTGAGGATAAGCTATGGAAAAACCATAAAGGCAGTATATAGTAAATGATAAATTATTGGTATGGATTTGAGGAGCTCTACTAGAGCTTCTGTATGATTATGTTCTCTTTTATTTGTCCCGCATTGCTCTTATTTACCTAGCAGACAATTCTGCTTTGCATTATGGAGTGCCTGCGAAGGAAATACACATGGGACAGGACCCTTATGCTCGAGTTGTTAACAGTCTTGTGTGGGAAAAAGACATGAACAAATCATCATAAAGTAATGATATCGGATGGAGAAGAGAAAAATGGTTAAGACCTTACTGGGTCCTTATGCTTTATGTGTATTATGATGCTTTATATTATTTTATTAAAACCTAAAATTTTGGAGGAACTTTACCCCCAATTTTATCATTGGAGCAGGGACAACCAGCTAATTGCTATAATAGTCAGGAAGAAGAAGGTGGGAGCCCCAAAGCAATTTCACACGTTTTAATTCCTGAGACTAAAGCTTTTCCCTCAACTCCCTCTTAGTTCATTTGGTTGACTCTGGACTCAGGCTAAACCCCGGCCCCCAAAGACCCACAGAATGGGAACCTGGGCGCAGGCCTGGCAGATGTGGACACGATGTTGCTACAGGACTTTGGAGTTTTTTCTCAGGTTTGGACATAATCAGGATCAGCTAATTGCTGGGAAGCTGTAGATCTGGGAGGTCAGAGATAAGGTGAGGTTAGTTCACTTCCTTGAGCTTTCCAGTTTTCAGAGTTTGGTGCTGCCTGGACACCTGGTATGTGACAAATGAAGGGGAGATGGCCCTCAGAGCTGGGTTTCAGTTGGGAAAGCACTACAGATCGGTCCACCCGCCCCCGCCTGCAAAGCTGGAGGGCGTTGCAGAAGCTGGACTATAAACACTAGCAAATATTGACAGAACTGAGGGTCATGGCTAAATCCTCTGGTCCAAGTCTGTGGTAGCAGGATAAGCATGCAGTTCACAGGAACTGG